TTCACCGATCCACGGAGAAATCGACAGAAAATTGTCACGGATTCAAGGGTGCCGCGCGACAGGAAATCAAGATACAGTAATGTCTCCCTAATTGACGCTCAGATCGTCCACATAAATGGACAATTTTGGAAAAGGAGATACGATTGTTCGAGCCTTGCGGTTCGTTTTTGTAGTTACGAATTGTTAACAACTATAAAAACGAGCTACAAGGCTCGAATAATCATATCTCCTCTTCTCAAACTGTCCATTTTCGTCCCCAAAGCTGGAGAAGAATGCGAGAGAATACAGATTGTCCACAAAAATGGACAATTTGGGAAGAAGAGATACGATTATTCGAGCCTTGCAACTCGTTTTTATAGTGACGAATTGTCAACAATTATAAAAACGAGCTACAAGGCTCGAATCTGCTCTTCTCAAATTGTCCATTTTCGTCCCCAAAGCTGGAGAACAATGCGAGAGAAATCACTGTACAGTAATGTCTCCCTAATTGACGCTCAGATTGTCCACAAAAATAGACAATTTTGGAAGAAGAGATACGATTATCCGAGCCTTGCTCGAATTTTTATAGTTACGAATTGTCAACAACTATAAAAACGAGCTGCAAGGCTCGAATAATCGCATCTCCTCTCCCCAAATTGTCCACTTTCGCCCCCAAAGCTTGGGAACAATGCGAGAGAAATCACTNATTTTTATAGTTACGAATTGTCAACAACTATAAAAACGAGCTGCAAGGCTCGAATAATCGCATCTCCTCTCCCCAAATTGTCCACTTTCGCCCCCAAAGCTTGGGAACAATGCGAGAGAAATCACTGTACAGTAATGTCTCCCTAATTGACGCTCAGATCGTCCACAAAAATGGACAATTTTGGAAAAGGAGATACGATTGTTCGAGCCTTGTGGCTCGTTTTTTATGGTTCTCGATTGTCAAGGTTATGTCAAGGGTCGAATAATTATATCTCCTCTTCCCAAATTGTCCATTTTTGTGCAGAATCTGAGCGCCAGTTAGGGAGACATTACTGTGTTTCTATTTTATATGACAAAATGCATTTTATGCACATGGAATTGACACNTCGCCGGGTGCCGAGATTTATGTCCCCGTCCGAGAAAGGAATCGCATTGCGCGGTAAGTTATTCGAATTTTCCCGGAAGAGATTAGCCTTGGTAAAAGGGCTGGAAATAGGACCGGGAGCCATCCTTCTCCGCCTCTAATCTAGCGGCGAGCCGGGTCCCGTTGATCCACCCGCTACCGCCGCCGGATTTATTTCCCGGTCGAGGATTTACATGCGTCCGAGTATCGCCGAGTGCGCGACCGCCTCGATTTGTATTATGCTTGTTAGCGACAGATCACCTTTTTGCTCGGGGCGAGGCCGGGCGGCGTGAGACCGACGCGCGAAGTTCTCTCGCTTCTTTTTTTTTTGTCTCACCGGTTCACCGGCCCGCGGAGCGCCGTTAATTTCTCCCGACGAGGAAACACGGATTACGTTTACGAAACCGATTACGTGTTTTATCGCGCGCGAGGCAGTCGCACGCGACGGATTCACTCGGGTGCGCGGGAGACGGTGACAAAAAATTGGCGACATTATTTCCGAGGGACGGCGAGAGGAACGAACGCGCTCCCGTTCGGTTCGCCACCGTGAATTTTCGGTCACCTCGGAATCGCCGGACCGATCTCTCGACGATATCGCCGGCAGGATCGCTCATTACGACGGGTTTCGAGCGGTCCGGCGACGTAATCGTCGGATAAGCTAGCCGCGGGTAGAAATCGCCGAGCGACGAATCGCGCGACGTGACTAACAGGACAATCAGCCATATCAATCCTTTATTCCCTTCTCTGATCCCCCCTCTCTCTCTCTTTCTCTCTCTGTCTCTTCGTCGTTCTCCCTTCCGGGTTTGGCGGGTGAACTCGTTCCGTTGGAACGATCGAACCGCCTCGAAAACGATCGGCTATTCAAACGGCTCTCGACGACGAATCGCTGGTCGAATCAAAAAAAAAGGAAAAAAAGAGGAAAAGGAAAGGGAAAGGAAAAAAGAAAACGCGGAACGAAGCCAATGACGGATAGGTAGCTCCGGGATGAAAGGGGGAGAAAGAAGAGGGAAAGGAGAGGGCGGGAGAGATCGGGACGTGGGACGATAGGTCAACACATTCGACAAGGAATCCATCCCATTGATGCCGCAAAAGCTTCGAGTTGCCCGGTCGAAAGTACATCGACGAATTCAGCTCCCTTGTAATCTTTATCGATACAAGGCACGATTTCCCCAGTCTCTCGCCTTCTCTCTCTCTCTCTCTCTCTTTCCCTCTTTTACCAGCTCTTTCCTTGTCGCTTCGCGGAGTTCACGTGCGGTGACGTACTTTCGATCTCTTCGCTCTCCCCGTCCGCCCCCTCGGCGGATTCGCCCCGTCGGCCTCTCCGTTTCTTTCTCGGCGGCCGACTACCCTACGACGAACAGTTTAATCGTATTTCACGGTGGATCACCCCGTCGTACGTTCCCCTTGCTCTTTTTTGGTTCGCGCCAATTCGACGGCTGTTACCGTCCCGGACAAGTGCACGCGTCCAGCCGAAAAAACGCGCGAAATCGTCGACCGCCCATTAAATCCGTAGCTTAATTGCAGTTTCCCTCCGTTGGTGTTGCACTTTTTTCTCTCGCTCTCTCTGTCTCTCTGTCTTTCTGTCTCTATTTCTAAATTTCTCTGATTGTCTTATCCTCTTTTTCACCGATCCACGGAGAAATCGACAGAAAATTGTCACGGATTCAAGGGTGCCGCGCGACAGGAAATCAAGATACAGTAATGTCTCCCTAATTGACGCTCAGATCGTCCACATAAATGGACAATTTTGGAAAAGGAGATACGATTGTTCGAGCCTTGCGGTTCGTTTTTGTAGTTACGAATTGTTAACAACTATAAAAACGAGCTACAAGGCTCGAATAATCATATCTCCTCTTCTCAAACTGTCCATTTTCGTCCCCAAAGCTGGAGAAGAATGCGAGAGAATACAGATTGTCCACAAAAATGGACAATTTGGGAAGAAGAGATACGATTATTCGAGCCTTGCAACTCGTTTTTATAGTGACGAATTGTCAACAATTATAAAAACGAGCTACAAGGCTCGAATCTGCTCTTCTCAAATTGTCCATTTTCGTCCCCAAAGCTGGAGAACAATGCGAGAGAAATCACTGTACAGTAATGTCTCCCTAATTGACGCTCAGATTGTCCACAAAAATAGACAATTTTGGAAGAAGAGATACGATTATCCGAGCCTTGCTCGAATTTTTATAGTTACGAATTGTCAACAACTATAAAAACGAGCTGCAAGGCTCGAATAATCGCATCTCCTCTCCCCAAATTGTCCACTTTCGCCCCCAAAGCTTGGGAACAATGCGAGAGAAATCACTGTACAGTAATGTCTCCCTAATTGACGCTCAGATCGTCCACAAAAATGGACAATTTTGGAAAAGGAGATACGATTGTTCGAGCCTTGCGGTTCGTTTTTGTAGTTACGAATTGTTAACAACTATAAAAACGAGCTACAAGGCTCGAATAATCATATCTCCTCTTCTCAAACTGTCCATTTTCGTCCCCAAAGCTGGAGAAGAATGCGAGAGAATACAGATTGTCCACAAAAATGGACAATTTGGGAAGAAGAGATACGATTATTCGAGCCTTGCAACTCGTTTTTATAGTGACGAATTGTCAACAATTATAAAAACGAGCTACAAGGCTCGAATCTGCTCTTCTCAAATTGTCCATTTTCGTCCCCAAAGCTTGGGAACAATGCGAGAGAAATCACTGTACAGTAATGTCTCCCTAATTGACGCTCAGATCGTCCACAAAAATGGACAATTTTGGAAAAGGAGATACGATTGTTCGAGCCTTGTGGCTCGTTTTTTATGGTTCTCGATTGTCAAGGTTATGTCAAGGGTCGAATAATTATATCTCCTCTTCCCAAATTGTCCATTTTTGTGCAGAATCTGAGCGCCAGTTAGGGAGACATTACTGTGTTTCTATTTTATATGACAAAATGCATTTTATGCACATGGAATTGACACTTGGGACTCGCACAACGGTAGCACTTTTAACAATTTTTCCTTTTTTATAGTTGTTGATAATTCGTAACTATAAAAATCAGTTGCAAGGTTCGAATAATCGTATCACCTCTTCTCAAATTGTCCACTTTTGTGCACAATCTTAGCGTCAGTAAGGCAGACATTACTGTAGTTTCTTCGTTCGTGCATCAGGTTAAACGGAGAAACAGGGAAACGGTTCGCCCGTTCGTCGGGGCTGTAACCAGCCGATGAAATGGCTGCAGGCGTTAAACGTCATAATGGAAATGCAGCTGGTATTAGCGCTTGATCCGTAATCCGACGTAATAGTGTTATTTCCGACCATTTCGAGCCACTCCAAGACTAAGCTGTCGAAAGGGCGGCGAAACGGTTGAATATTGCGACGATCGACGCGCATCGATCACGGAAACATAAAAGAAGAAAAGGAATACACATAGATACACGCGATGTTCCAGAGGCGAGCGAGATCGGAAAGAAGCGCTAGCAATAAGTTCGATCGGAAAAAGGAGGTTAAATCTTGGTGTAAGAAAGCGTGTCTCGAACGATCCCGTCGTGAGGCGAAACGCAACGCGCTTATTGTTGAATAACGAAAGTGCAACGGTGCGAACAGAAGGGAAGAGGGCAAGAGCCAGAAGAAAGGAGGGAGGGAGGAAGAGAGAGAGAGAGAGAGAGAGAGAGAGAGAGAGAGAGAGAGCGGAATATAGAAAGAGCGAGGGGAAGAAAAGTGCAGCGGTGCACGGCGCACACTCACGCACCGCGTCGGGATCTCCCCCCCCCTCCCCCTACCTTTCAGATTCTAGATTCTACGGTGCTCCTCTACGGTGTTCCGAGACGGAGTACCGGCTGGGTATACATATATGTATCGTCGCGTCTTTGTCGTCGTCGGCCACCGCACACACTTTCGTATTTATTGGCCGAAGAAGGGGAGGGAAGGCCACGGACGTACCTCGCGGGCCAGTGCGTTCCGAGATTTCGAGGTGAGAGGACATCGAGCAGTCTTTATCCGAGAACCCCTTGGCCACCGTTTTACCACCGTTCGCCAACGTTCGCCATCGTTTTTTTTTTTTTACCAAAAGTTCGCGCGCTCGATCCATCGAGAGACGGTGTGGGCTTCGTCGTTCGAATCTCGTCCTTCTTCTATTTTTTGTCTCTCTCTCGCCGAGGCCCTCGACTCGCTCGTTGGAAGCAGCGTATCGTCGCGCGTTTGATCGCGATTCGTCGCTCGAGGCACCCCGGGATTCGTCGCCTGAACGCCGCGCACCAAGAGCCCTCGGCATGGCTTCGACGATCAAGGTGAGTGACGAACGTGCAACAGGTAGATACACACGCAGCCCGTGTACACGTGCGCCGGCTGATTTAAAGTTTCGGGGTATCCGGCGGAGAGGCACGCCTCGCCCCACGTTTCTCTGCCTGTCGGGAGCAATCCGGCAATTCGCGACGCGACACCTCGCCTCGCATAGCATAGCAAAGCATAGCATTGCATAGCGTAGCACGGAGCCTTGCGGAGCACGGCGTATAGCACAGCGTAGCACAGCTACACGAGCTCTTACCTCCCCTTCTCTGGGGGATGAATGCTTGCGCTGCACGCGACCGGCAAATTCGATATCGTGACCGATCGCGGTACTCTCCCTCCACGCTTTGAATATTTAGGAGTCTAGCCAGGGAATCGGCACAGCGGTCCCTCGGGCACGTACCTGTAGCTTTTCTCCGGAACGGAACGTACGCGCCGCGAATCACGATCGCGGCGCTAGAGCTTGAATCGGCCATCGTCTCGCCGGTCTGCTCGTTCGTTTCCGCGCGAAAATTGGCCCCCCGCTCTCCCTCCGCGGCTTCGGTAGAACTTCCTTTGTCGTTGGTTCCCTCAAAGACGAAATTTATATCGAACCAGAGCCTCGCACGCGCCGCAAAGCGCTCCCAACGTTGTCCGTCGCGGAGACGGATATCGGACGGATTCGTTGCGCGCCGTTGCTCGAGGTGTCCGCGTTGTTACCGTGTAAAACAACAGTTTCGCCGAAGGTTCGAGAACGAACGGCGACTACGGAAGCCGATAGCGGAGCCGAATACCCCGATAACGAAAGTGTCAACAGATTTCGTTCGATACCGTCGTCGCGCGGCCGCGATTCGACGTTGCACGGTGTACGGATTAACCCCTTCGGTACGAGCGCCGGATATATCCGGCATCCATCTGATGACCAATATGGACGAGTGCCGAATACATCTGGCATCCGTGTAAGCCATATTTCTGTAGGCCCTTTAGAGAATGTTTACAGGAAACATTTCAAGAAAGATTTAGAAACGGATTAAGCACAGTCATTGCTTAACGCTTGAGAAAATCTTCGTACAAAAGTGGACCGAGCCTGCGTTATGTGCGCATTTTCGCCGCGGCACCCCGTACAGTGGGAGTGTCACGGCGGACAACGCGCTCGTACCGAAAGGGTTAATTGACCGACACTGTTGCGAGAAGCATCGTCGGGACGAGGGGGCGAAAAAAGAAGAGTTGGCGCGCCGAAGAGACGAACGCGAATCGATTCGGAGCCGAGGCGAAACAACTTTCGCTGGGAACGGGCGAAACTTCGCGACGCCGTGTTGCCGCGTCCCGACGACTTCGCGCAGATAATTCTGTATCTTCGGGAAGCGGAGCAAGTTGTTCGACTTCGGGCCGGCCCGGCGATGGCGAAGCTCGATAATCGAATCGTCGTCGTTCGCCGCACGAGAATATGGAAAGCGATACGGAATTTCGCGAACATCGAAAGCAGCCGCTAAACTGGCTGCACCGAGCGAACTATGTGTCATATCGGGCTCCGGAGAATTCGGCCGCGCGAAGCGCCGAGTTTCCAAGCTTTTTTCACCGCGAAAAGAAAAAACACGCGGCTACGTTCGAACTCGATCGACGCGGGGAATCGCTCCGTTCCGGGTATCGTCGCGCAATCGGTGCCACCGGCGACGATGCGGCGGCATTTCTCAGACACTTTCTCCGCGCGTCTCGCGCGAAACAGGAATCGTTCCGCGTTGTAGAGCGTGCGCGAGAGCGCGAAGTCGTTTAACAGCCGTTCAAACTCGAAGGATTCCGTGCGGAAAAAGTTCGGCGAACAGAAATTACGATATCTCGGAGCGACCGGCGGATCCGCAGCCGCGCGGAAACGGTTCGGAGCCCGCGTAATTCGATCGGCCGGAGGGGGGCCGGCACCGCGAAATGTGCGGCCAGAGTGCAATAAAAACGTAATGTCGCGAAGATAGGTTTATAGAGCGTGACGGCGGTTCGCCGTTCGGATTGAGACGGAAGACGAAAAGAGACGGGAGGCGGGAGACGAGAGCGAGCGGTGTAAGCGCTCTCGAGAAGAGCTTCGAGGCGCAGCTTCATAGAATCGTCGAGTTTCTTTCCGCGTTCGTCGCGTTTCGCCGAGCACGCGGCTCACCGGCTGAATTCTTCCAGGTATTAAGCGACCAATAAACGTCGAGAGGCAACGAATCTCGCAGTCGTTTCATCGGGACGAAGATATCGGCTCGCGGGGATCGTCGATGCTCGAGCGGGTATCGGATACAGCTAGCTGCAGTTCCGAGAAATTGCGTGCATTCTGAGCCCGATCGCGACGCGACGCGTTTATTTTTCGCTTCGGAGCGGCCCGTGGATCGATCGATCCGTCGCCGATGCCCGTACCGAGCCGATTTTCTTGTCGCGAGGCCGCGCGAACAAGTTATTAAATTCCGGCACGTAGGCTTGGGTTCCACTCGAACGGTCGGGGCAAAACCTTTGTCGACGAGGCGGCGACGCAACGTCATAATTCATGCGTGCTGCGAACGAACGCTTGCGTTACCGCGCCGACGGAGGAATAACAATCCGATTTTCACGGCGTTGCGTTGGCACCCTCGTCTTCGACTCGGCTTGACCTTCGAGTTGTGTAATTAATGTATCGAGACAGTTTTCCGACCTACAGTGATTTCTCTCGCATTGTTCCGCAGCTTTGGAGGCGAAAATGAACAATTTATAGTTGTTGACAATTCGTAATTATAAAAATTCTACTACTATAATTATAAAAATTCGAGCAAGGCTCGGATAATCGTATCTCTCCTTCCAAAATTGTCAATTTCTTGTGGACAATCTGAGCGTCAATTGGAGAGATATTATTGTACAGTGATTTCTCTCGCATTGTTCTCCAGCTTTGGGGACGAAAATGAACAATTTGGGGAGAGGAGATGCGATTAGTCGAGCCTCGCAGCTCGTTTTTATAATTGTTGACAATTCGTAACTATAAAAATTCGAGCAAGGCTCGGATAATCGTATCTCTTCTTCCCAAATTGTCCAATTTTGTGGACAATCTGAGCGTCAATTGGAGAGACATTACTGTACAGTGATTTCTCTCGCATTGTTCCCCAGTTTTGGGGACGAAAATGAATAATTTGGGGAGAGGAGATGCGATTATTCGAGTTTTGCAGCTCGTTTTTATAGTTGTTGACTATTCGTAACTATAAAAATTCGAGCAAGGCTCGGATAATCGTATCTCTCCTTCCAAAATTGTCAATTTCTTGTGGACAATCTGAGCGTCAATTGAAGAGATATTATTGTACAGTGATTTCTCTTGCATTGTTCCCCAGCTTTGGGGACGAAAATGAACAATTTGGGGAGAGGAGATGCGATTGTTCGAGCCTTGCGGTTCGTTTTTATGCTTACGAATTGTCGACAACTATAAAAACGAGCCGCGAGGCTCGAACAATCGTATCTCCCCTTCCCAAATCGTCCATTTTCCTCTTTCTTTGATTTATTTATTAAGGTCGCGTCAACTGCTAAGTAATTAGCGACCGCAGGAAGAACGCAAAAATATTACAACCGGTTACACAAGTTCGATTAACCCTTTGCACTCGAAGCCATTTTAACTGTAAATCAAAAATAATTTCTCTGACTTATAGTACTTCCATTTTATACGACAAAGTGCATTTTATGCATATAAAATTGTGTCTTGTGGTGATCCATACAATAGTTAAAGTAAACTTTGTTAATACAAAAATGATCTTGGAACGTGGCATACCAATTTAAGTGCTGCCTGCGAGTCACCATTCGTGTGCAAAGGGTTAACATCGATTCGGTGATATCGGCAAGCTGGGGAAGAATTCGGGCGAAATTACTGCACGATTTGAAAATCGGATCGAGGACAAAGGACCGACGGGTGATCATCGAAATTCTTTTCCGTACGGGGCAAAAAACTCGAAAGGAGAAATAGGCTAAATCCGGCTCCCGACGATAGGAATAAGTGAACCGAATCGTCGACGGGAGGACCGCAGAGGCGAGAGAGGGTTAATGCGAGTCATCGGGGGTGTCCGGTTGGAGCTCTGATCGCGAATAATTCGCAGCCGCGACGCGACGGGGGCCTCGTTAATACCGGTGCCGCGACGCGATGATCGTTGGTATTTGCGTTGAGTCTCTTCGCGCGTTAAATCGTAATCCATACGCCGCGCGTTGTCGATATCGACCGTGAATCACCGAGCTGTGTAATTATTGTCCATCGGTTGCGAGTCGATAACTAGACGATTGTAAATTAATTTAATAACTACGAACAACACGGCGCGGCCGGGCCGCCGCTCGGCCGGTACACGAACAATAAATTATTGTTTATCGGGCTGCTGTGGGAGTGGTGTCCTGCAGCCTGTGCATGTATGTGTGTGTGTGTGTGTGTGTACGTTCGCGAGAGCGAGAGGCGCGTGCACGAGCGCGCAAGCGCAGGTGAAAGCGGAGCGCGGCCGGTGCGGACAATAACTATAACGGAATATTACGGGTGGAAGCGGCGCGGCCCGAGAGTTTTCCGTCGCCCCGGCGTCCCGTTTAACCGGTGAATTATCATTCATAGACCGTGACGATAATTAACGGGCCTGTAGGAAGGACTCGGTTGTCCGTCCACAGAGGGGGGAGGGAGAGAGGGCCCCGTGGCATGGTCGACAGGAACCGTCAGCGTCTCGCTCGGACGTAATAACCCGGCCGAACGTTACTGTTACAGTCGTTCACAGTCAACGTGACGGCAATAAAATCTATATCACGGCCATTTGCCATTCAGACCGGCCAATAATTCTTATAATCCACGTCGGCTCGCGGAAGTAAGCGGTTTGCGTTCGCGCGCGGGCTCCACAGCCCCGAGCCCGCATCCCAATCCACAAATCATCCCGGCTACGCGAGCCTACAGGCCCCCGGTGATTTACCGGACCGTACCAATTATTAGCATCCCACGGGGCGAATCGAAACTCGCAGACTCGCCGCCTCGTGGCCGGCTGGCTGGACGGAGTCGCGCCGGGGAACCGGTAAAAGC